TAAGTACTTTACCTCCCTTAGGGAATCCAGTCGAGAACCACAGAGCGCAGAGAAGTGATCGATCTGCATCACTAACATCAGCACCTGTCAAGCCATCTAAACCAGACGGATGAATATTGTCGAACATCAATATACTCTCAGCGTTGTCAAACGTTTGTGCAATGCGACGAGCTAACTCTGCCCTGTACTCTAATTCAGCTCCATGTTCCACACCCCACTTGGCAAAGTCATCGGCGGACAGTTCGCTCAACTGTTGCGTTGTTCGATTTACGACATGCTTTTGCTGCTCAATAAGAGAGAATAAACTTCTCGCCGTTGAAATATCAACAGTTTTATCATCCACCGTGATAAACGGCATTTTGTGAAAGACGACTGTGTGAAGTGAAATAGAGGTTTATCTAGTAAAATAAAGTGCACTGGGAGGATGTATACATACAATAAATACAACCGTAATTTATGGGCGTTACTTTGCAGGAAAGAAAAAGTCATCGAACCGTGACTGTATGAAAGCTTTGATATTTTCTTTTCTTTTATGATTAATTCAATGGTCGTACACGTGTGCATGTACAGGTGTTATTCTTGAGAGAGAACGAAGAAAACTCTGTGACGAATTACGATAAACATTTATTCGAAACAAATCCTATTTAAAATGTACAGGACGAGCTATATTTCATTTTATTGAGCAGAGAACTATCGTTAGTATGTTTTCATTTGTTTATTCTTGATTGTAAATATGTATTACAACCAAGCTTGTTTGCGAGACTTAATAATTCATTGTAGACAATAAAAATCCACCTTAAACCTTCCGTTGGATCTCTACCATTGTATCACAATGAAAATAGCCATCAACAGTATACCGATCCAAAATCCTGCGAAGTATATCCGGATCCATGCGATAAGACCACTGCAATCATTATATGAACCGGTGATTTCGGCACTGTGACTGTTATATTGTATGCAACGGTTATTTTCGAGGGCGCGCCCATATATCCTTCATTTAAAGTCCTACACTATTACTTGGGGTAATTGCAGAATTGATTGAAATAGGTCGAATCAGTTGTGTGAGAAAATGCAAACGTAACATAGAAGATCACTTGTATTGCTGGTTACATCCTTTTACTTCAATAGTGTTCTTCGTTGTGAATCAACATGCGATGTATATGCATTAGACAAAAGCTGGCCGTCATCTTATAAAATGGAGAGATAACGAAACTTCTCAAACTCTTATTGCTAAAAGGAAAGAATATGATTCAGATTCTGAACAAATACAATTCTAACCAAAATTCGCTATGCTTGAGCAAAATAACGTCATGCTAGACAAAATGGCCAATATTCTAATTAGGTAGCTAATCCCAATAAAACTTGAGTGCATCCATGATTTGTATTTTTATGTCATTTTTATGAGGATCAAAGCCTGCTCCCACACATTGTTTTGTTATACTCTATTATATCCCTGTCCAAATTTCAAATCCGTCATATATTGCCTTGACAAGGTAGGTTATCATTTGCCACAAATCTGGATCCCAGAATTCATTCCTAAGTGAAATCCCTATTTAGGGATTTTTCCACATTAAATGTGTCATATTCTGATGTTTGATTATAATTCAATAAACATTATGAAAACAGTTTTAATATGATTCTGGTCACCAGAATATATCTTTTGATATAGATGATAAATGCCTTTAATGGTGGACCTGGTCACCTGAATATACCTTCGATGTGAATGAGGAACGCTTCTAAAGATAAATCTGATGATCAGAATCTATCTTCGATTAGTGCAAAGCCCTTGTTTTTGGAGTGCGAAAACACATTCTGGTGACCACATATACTATTAAAGGCGTTTATCATCCATATCAAAAGATATATTCTGGTTACCAGAATCATATTAAGACTGTTTTCATAATGTTTATTGAATTACAATCAAACATCAGAATATGACACATTTAATGTGGAAAGATCCCTAAATAGGGGATTTCACTTAGGAATGAATTCTGGGAACCAGATTTGTGGCAGATGATAGACAACCATTTCGTCACTTTTGTGTGAAATGGCAAAAAATTGTTCAGGTGCGAAGAGAAGTTTACGCTCTTCACCAGTCTGAATGGTCTTTTTTCAATTCAACATAAATATCACCATCAACATATGTTAAATTAATGTGTGGTGCATGATCACCAGGACCATTCTGTGCTCCTCTATTATAACTATGTCGAACGGGAGGCATACTCTTTCGTTGAAAAAATATCAATGTGAAATATTTTCTTCCAGCGAATGTGTTTGAAATTGTTTTTACTTATACCACTTATTTTGATAATACCTTTTTTACCCACTCTTTTTCTTTATTTGCTCAAGTCTTGTAGAAACGTAAAATAATGGTTAGTGAGATATGTGTTATTACGAACGACAAAAAAGAGTTTATTCTTTTTTTAGCAACTGGGTAAAAACACAATTGAAAAACTGCTAAAGTCAATTTTTTTGAATCTAATTTGACGAGTTAATTGGTTAGTAGTATTAATGAGGACCACTGCGTTGATAAAACCACAAAACTCCAAAAATATTCGAAAGACAAGTATTTATAAGAAAGATTTCTAAAACACCCAATATCTTACAGTGAATTTTAAAGACAATTAATTTGTTCTTTTCGTCATTGATTATAAAAAGTCGAAATATTATTTTCTTTTTTTTTTGTATCACGCATGGTTCCTTTCTCTAATGTTAACATGAAGACTAAAATAATTGAAGAGTTATTTTTAATTTCTATGAATCGAGTGTAGTTATGGAAATAAGCTGAAAAACAAATGAGGTTTTATATATGTCCATGTTTAGCATTTTTACGTTAGCTAATCAGAGATAAGTATATAGTTAAACAGACCATGAGAATTGCAATATTTAGTAAAAAAGGAATATATTATCGTCGAAGAGTTTTTTTCTGACGAATGAATCAACAGAAACTATAAAACCAGCTGAAATTGAATAAAGAAATAACAAGACAAACAAGTTCATCAATCATTTTTTATTTTAACAAAAATAAATACAGTGAAGCTGTCAATGATTTTCATAGGATTATTTTCAACACTAAAGTATTATGAAAGAAATTTTTCCTTATATACTAAAACAACATTTTCGATTCTTTTCTAGTATTTTCTTAAACATTGCATTACGAAGGGAAGAAAAATGACATCATCGTAATGCAATGTTTAAGAAAATACTAGAAAAGAATCGAAAATGTTGTTTTAGTATATAAGGAAAAATTTCTTTCATAATACTTTAGTGTTGAAAATGATCCTATGAAAGGCATTGAAAGCTTCACTGTATTTATTTTTGTTAAAATAAAAAATGAATGATGAACTTGTTTGTCTTGTTATTTCTTTAAAACTAGCTGAAGTAAAAATATTCGCTAAGATAATATGTCTCTTCATATCTATAAATGACTTCAAACGGCACCATGTCTGCGCTACCAAACGACTCTAATTTTACCATAGTTATTAACCAATCATGGTTTATTCCTTTTGATATTATCAATATTCTATCTCCTACTTTAGCTATTCTACTATCTTTAGTATTTATATCTTTGATAATCTTCGACAAAACATGTCACACAGTTTCCATGATACTTGTTTTTAATTCATTGGTTGCTCAACTTTTCACTGCTAGTGTTTTATTATGGATGGTTATATCTACTTTTATAAATGATCTTTATCAAAGATACTATCGATATTCCTACTGTACTTTTCAGGGTTATATTAGTTATGTTGCAGTTGCGGGATTATTTTATTCATATTTCTTACAAGCAATATACCGTTATTTAATAGTCGTTTATCCAACGCAACCAGTATGGCAATCGACTAAATTCCAATGTTTTCTTATTATTGGAAAATGGATTGTTAGTTTTCTATACGCTTTTCCCCATTTATTTACAGGTAAGATTATTTATCATGTCAATGATCAAATATGTCAAATGCCTCTTCATCTGTCAATTATCGCAGTGTATAATATCATTTATATTTATTTGATTCCCATGAATGGTATTATGTTTATATATTTTAAGTTAATTCGGTATGTGAAAGAAATGAATAAACATGTCACACCTGCAAATACTTTATTGCGTGTACAAAGAGAACTGAAAATGGTACGTCGAATTGTGGTAATTGTGTTTATTTTATTGGTATTTGGCAGTCCCTACGCGACTTTTACATTTATGGGATTTTTTGCTCACCCACCAAAATATCATTTTCGTATTGCTAATACATTTTGTCAAATTGCATTACCATTGATCACAATTGCTTTATTCAAATTTACAGATCCACTTAGGATATCGTTAATGGGATTAATAAATCGACAAAGAAATTGAGCAATGGCAGCAATGATATAGAATCTTTTATATCACATGTAATCTTTTCTTTGAAAATAAAATCTATTTGAAATTAGTATTATAAACATGTCGAAACTTCTTAGAAGTTCTTTATAAATTGTAGACTATAGTAGGCAAACCGTTAACACTGGTTATACCAATTAAAATGAATTAGAAAGTCCAAAAATATCGATTTAGTTTGTCCAATCATGTAAACGGAGCCGCAGAGTGAAAAACATGTTTTGTAATTTAAATAGTCGTAGAAGTAAAACTCTCTTTAACATAATCAAATTGTTTTTTTTATGAATAAAATATTCGTTGATGTTCGTTCTTCTTGTCATTTATTTGACGACGATCATGCTTTCCTTGCATTCTACCACTTTGGTACAACATAAATTTTATCTATCTATTTTAGTCGTGTCAACTTTATACTTCGTACAGAGATTTTTCATGTGCAGTGAGTTTTGCATCGAGATACCATAATTTGAATACTTATACAAGTTTCATTTAATTGAATTGCATTTTGGTCAATAAAATTGACATTACTAATATCATACAAGATAAAACTGAACCAAACCAACCGTTATTATTAATTCCATATATCTACGGAAAGATTCGAGTATCACTGGAAATCATCTAAATCATAGAAATTAAATGTAAGTTAAGTATGCCAACTATTTGGTCTATCAAAGCTAGACCAATTTTAGAGCAAATTACCTCACTAAGTGAAAGTATCAAACACAAGACAATTGGTGTTATTGGAAGTGCTGGAAGTGGTAAATCACCTCTTCTTAATTCTATCCTCAGTGATGAATTATTATCAAATGATCGCAGGGAAAGTTGTATAGAATCAATTTCAGTGTTATAATCTTGAAATCAAGCATATTATCAGTTAATAGTATTTTTTATCTCGAAAGATCAGTGGAAGATGAAATCGAAGTATGTACAAGAAACAATGAAAGCAGCGGAACGCGACGGAGAGATAGTACCTTCAGATGAAGTAAAAGCCTTTCAGTTAAAACAGAGTTGCCTCTGCGGAAGCGAAAATATTAGTACAACACCTCTCGATACACTACCTAACGATATTTTCGACAAAATGTATAAAGAATATGAAGTATATTTGGCTAATGAAATACAAACATGTAAAGATCAACTGTATCAGTTTGCCACCATGAAAGGTCGATGGTGGCCTACCGTTGATAAGATATATATTTATGGTCCATTCAAGAACATAAATAGTGATACGACTCTATTTAATATACCTGGTTATGGTGATGGTTTTGAAGCGATGACAATTCGAGCAAATGAAGCTGCTGTAATTTGTGACCAATTGGTCCGAATTATTCGAGGCGATGGCCGTGATCCTCTTACGTCTAGTTTTCTCAAAGGTTTACTTCAATCATCGACCTCAAGAAAACATTTATGCTTAGTCGTAACATATTACAATCTTGTTGTAGAAGAAAACAAAAACGCAAAGGGTAATGATGAAGAAATGAAAAAGAAATATAGAGTAGAACTTAAAGAGGTAGCTAATAAAACTTTGTAAGATAGCTTTTCTATAGAATATGCACAAAAATGCATTAATGAGTTACCTGTATACTAAGTTATATAGAGAATAAATGTGATCGTGAAGAGTGGTCTGAATTAGAACAAAATCTCTTAAATAAGTTTGTAGAGCATGAACTAAATGGTTTTGTTAAGACAGAATTAATAATATTAACATACTCTTGACAGTTCTTTCGACTGAACTGTCGCATCCACTATTCGATCTCATAGAAGAGAGTGAGCTGCAACCATCACGAGAAAAATGTTGGAAAACGTTCTTAGCATCAGTAGAACAATGGAAGTTATACCTAGAAAATGATTGTAAGAAAATCTGGAATGGTTATTATTGGCCAATTTTACAGAAAGTTTCTCCGAAAATAAATCCTGATCAATACAAGACAAAAAACTATCAATCGTTACGATCAAATCTGAGAGATAAATCTAATGATATAGCGAACGATTTAAGTCGAGCTATAATAGACGCAATTCGGATAGCAGAACTGCCCAATAGTCGTTTTTTTTTCTTCATAATCTAATACATATTGATAAATTACAACTTATTTTCGATGATTTTTTTCCAAATATGCAAAGAAAAACTGAGACAGAAACAAGCGGAACATCTTTATTCAACAGTTGATCAATGTGCTGCTAAAGTTCGATATCATATTAATTTATTTGTACAATCAATTAGTCGTCAACTTGATTCTATTAATTATCGTATAATGTTCTGTTTGCAGAAGGCAGTAACAGAAACAATGCATAATAGATTATGAATTAGTGAAAATCTTCAAAGTGTAACTGGTGATGGAACGAAACAAAAATATTTACCTAGTTTATGAAATTTCATTAAAGAATTGAATGAGAATAAGATTAGTTTTTCCGAAGGATTACATCGACATTTATTACCATGTTTTGTCGCTATTTCTACAAGTTTTAGTAGTTTAGAAACTGATATTCAATCAACCTTAGATAGAATAACTTTCGTTTGTAAACTCGATCCTGCACTGAAACAGAAAGTGTTTACTTGTCTTGTTTCATTACCATTAAATTTGATAGAAATTAATGAACAGTCATGATTTGATATACATCAATTTTTTACGGGTATGTTTATGTTTTAAGTAACATAAGTATGTGAAACCTGTTTAAGATCAGCTATACAACCTGGTTACCAGTTAAACGCGCTAAAAAATTGTATATTACCGGTGTTCCACAACCTTTTATTGTTGAAAAGTATTATCATTGTCACCATTGTAAATTATTTGAACAATGGATGCACAAAATGTTTCGAAAACATAGCGAAAATACTAGTCGAGAGTTTTTTCGAGTACCATTATCGGTAATTATCGACATAGGAGATCGTTTAATTAATATTATGCAAGAAAAATATGCTAATTCCTAATCATTGGATTCGTTCGAATAAGAATATCTCTTTTTTAACTTAATTTTTCATCCGCAGAAATTTTTATAGCTTTTAAAGTGTAATCCTTTTTTCTTTCCTCGTTTTTATTATAATAAATAATTTACTTTTCTCCAATGAAAAATATGTAGATCTTGTGAAATCATACCGAATAATTATTCAATCTAGATGGTGTGCGTGATGGTAAACCGACGCTCAATCTATGATCAGTTGAATTGAGATATTTTCATTACGTTAATTTATTTTAAAATTATGTAAAAAAAAGAAAAATGTACTATTTTCAAGGATGAACATAAATTTAAAATATTGCATTACTTTTTGTCAATGGATGTTCAACAAGCCACCGATGTTCTACTCGCCGATTTGGATCTCGTTGAAGACTATGGTATAGAATATCTTGCACAAGATTTGATTGAGTAGGTGAATAACCTGATGGAGGTTGTGCACTTTCATAAACAGGAGATGTTCCATATGTTAAATAATATAAAATAGCCCCTATAGACCAGATGTCAGCTTTTGATGTTATAGGCATATAGTATACAAAACATTCTGGTGCACTATAAGGATGACTACCACCTCGCTGATGTGGATTATATCTACAGAAGAAACAAAAGAACAAGAAAAATATTTAGAAAGTAATGAATGAGAGAACTTTACTGTGCAGATGCATCTTGTGCAATACCAAAATCAACAAGTTTTAGCGTTGAACCAAAGAATACTAGATTAGCTGGTTTTAAATCACGATGAACCTATTCACAAGAGAAAAGTGTATTTAGATATATATATATATATAATTTTCTATTTTCTTTACTATATTATTTCGATGAAGTGCACAAACAATATTAACTAATTGAATCCAAAGATTTTTTTCGATCATATGCTGAAATATAATCATAACCATTTTGATGTGATTTGTAATGTGTTTGTTGTAAATATTGAATATGATCTTTAAGTTTTGTGTTTCCTAATTCCATTACAATATAACCCATTTGTCTTTCTCTATCGATATCAAATGTATGTAGAGTAACGACAGAATCTTTTTCATTTCTCAATCGACTAATCATTTTAATTTCATTTTGAAATGAATTCATACGTTGACTAGAATTGATATTATTTTTTGAATGATTAAAATCAAATATTTTCACTGCAGCATAATAACCTAAAAATTTCATACACTGACTATTTATCGATTGAGAAAAGAATTGTAAATACCAGCTCGTGTTTTTGATTTCCATACAGATGCAAATTTTCCTTGTCCTAACNGATAATACCTTTTTTACCCACTCTTTTTCTTTATTTGCTCAAGTCTTGTAGAAACGTAAAATAATGGTTAGTGAGATATGTGTTATTACGAACGACAAAAAAGAGTTTATTCTTTTTTTAGCAACTGGGTAAAAACACAATTGAAAAACTGCTAAAGTCAATTTTTTTGAATCTAATTTGACGAGTTAATTGGTTAGTCATATTAATGAAGACCACTGCATTGATAAAACCACAAAACTCCAAAAATATTCGAAAGACAAGTATTTATAAGAAAGATTTCTAAAACACCCAATATCTTACAATGAATTTTAAAGACAATTAATTTGTTCTTTTCATCGTTGATTATACAAAATCGAAATATTATTTTATTTTATTTTTTGTATCACGCGTGGTTCCTTTCTCTAACGTTAACATGAAGACTAAAATAATTGAAGAGTTATTTTTAACTTCTACGAATCGAGTGTAGTTATGGAAATAAGCTGAAAAACAAATGAGGTTTTATATATGTCCATGTTTCGCATTTTTACACTAGCTAATCAGAGATAAGTATATAGTTAAACAGAGCATTATAACTGGAATATTTAGTAAAAGAGGAATATATTATCGTCGAAGAGTTTTTTTTCTGACGAATGAATCAACAGAAACTATAAAACTAGCTGAAATTGAATAAAGAAATAACAAGGCAAACAAGTTCATCAATCATCTTGTATTTTAACAAAAATAAATACAGTGAAGCTTTCAATGTCTTTCATAGGATCATTTTCAACACTAAAGTATTATGAAAGAAATTTTTCCTTGTATACGAAATCAACATTTTCGATTCTTTTCTAGTATTTTCTTAAACATTGCACCACGAAGGGAAGAAAAATGACGTCATCGTAGTGCAATGTTTAAGAAAATACTAGAAAAGAATCGAAAATGTTGATTTCGTATACAAGGAAAAATTTCTTTCATAATACTTTAGTGTTGAAAATGATCCTATGAAAGGCATTGAAAGCTTCACTGTATTTATTTTTGTTAAAATACAAAATGATTGATGAAATTGTTTGTCCTGTTATTTCTTTAAAACCAGCTGGAGTAAAAATATGCACTAAGATAATATTTCTCTTCATTTCTATACATGACTTCAAACGACTCTAATTTTACTATAGTTATTAACCAATCATGGTTTATTCCTGTTGATATTATCAATATTCTATCTCCTACTTTAGCTATTCTACTATCTGTAGTATTTATATCTTTGATAATCTTCGAGAAAACATGTCACACAGTTCCCATGATACTTGTTTTGAATTCATTGGTTGCTCAACTTTTCACTGCTAGTGTTTTATTATGGATAGTTATATCTACTTTTATAAATGATCTTTATCAAAGATACTATCGATATTCCTACTGTACTTTTCAGGGTTATATTAGTTATGTTGCAGTTGCTGGATTGTTTTATTCATATTTCTTACAAGCAATATACCGTTATTTGATAGTCGTTTATCCAACACAACTGGTATGGCAATCGAGTAAATTCCAATGTTTTCTTATTATTGGAAAATGGATTGTTAGTTTTCTATACGCTTTTCCCCAATTATTTACAGGTAAGATTATTTATCATGTCAATGATCAAATATGTCATATGCCTCTTCGTCTGTCAATTATCACAGTGTATAATATCATTTATATTTATTTGATTCCCATGAATGGTATTATGCTTATATATTTTAAGTTAATTCGGTATATGAAAGAAATGAATAAACATGTCACACCTGCAAATACTTTATTGCGTGCACAAAGAGAACTGAAAATGGTACGTCGAATTGTGATAATTGTGCTTATTTTATTGGTATTTGGCAGTCCCTACACGATTTTTACATTTATGGGATTTTTTTGCTCACCCACCAATATATCATTTTCGTATTGCTAATACATTTTGTCAAATTGCATTACCATTGATCACAATTGCTTTATTCAAATTTACAGATCCGCTTAGGGTATCGTTAATGGGATTAATAAATCGACAGAGAAATTGAGCAATGACAGCAATGATATAGAATCTTTTATATCACATGTAATATTTTCTTTGAAAATAAAATCTATTTGAAATTAGTATTATAAACGTGTCGAAACTTTTTAGAAGTTCTTTATAAATTGTAGACTATAATAGGCAAACCATTAACACTGGTTATACCAATTAAAATGAATTAGAAAGTCCAAAAATATCGATTTAGTTTGTCCAATCATATAAACGAAGTCGCAGAGTGAAAACATGTTTTGTTCCCTCGACTGAAAGGAGGGTCATACGAAAAAAATAGCTTGTATGTTTGTCTGCTTGTGTCAGGGTCAAAGGTCAAAAAAACATTTTCTTGCAAAAGGCTCAAAACTTCATGAAACAGTCTTTGGGAGGGATCCTGATGCTCGAGGTTGGCTGGTGACGGGTGAAGGGGCAGGAACGTGACAGAAATGAAGAAAACATTTCAACCACGCCTGAGAGGAGGACTACATAGAAGAGTTGATTACGAAAAAGTAGAAACACACTCGGTTGACTGTCGCATACTAAAGGCAAGTAATCCAAAAATACAATCACTCACAAGTTACATACTGGAGAGCAATCTTAAATGCTGACCTTCGATATATTGAAAGTTTTTGTAGGCCTTTAAGCCTTTCGATTAAGTAGGGCATGTTCAAAGTTGCAAATCCATAATAGTCATTTATGGCGAACTTCTGCTTCCTGTGAAGAGTGATTGTCAGTCAGGAATATAGAATAATTAAAAAGAACACAAGTAGTCCTTTGACTCTTTTGAAGACTATGAGGCGAATGAAGATCAGTCCCTGGGGACCCTTTCAAATGTTATACTTCTGTCTTTTTTTGCATAAAACGCACATAAGACTATTTTATTTTTAGTCAGTGGTTCAGTCGAGGGCATAGCGAGTCTGCCTCGACGAGCATTACTAGTAATATAAGTAGTCGTAGAAGTAAAGCTCTCTTTGACATAATCAAATTGTTTTTTTTTAGGAATAAAATATTCGTTGATGTTCGTTCTTCTTGTCATTTATTTGACGACGATCATGCTTTCCTTCCATTCTACCACTTTGATATGACATAAATTTTATCTATCTATTTTAGTCGTGTCAACTTTATACTTCGTATGGAGATTTTTCATGTGCAGTGAGTTTTGCATCGAGACACCATAATTTGAATACTTATACAAGTTTCATTTAATTGAATTGCATTTTGGTCAATAAAATTGACAGTACTAATATCATACAAGATAAAACTGAATCAAACCAACCGTTATTATTAATACTATATATCTATGAAAAGATTCGAGTATCACTGGAAAAATTGTTTCAACAAGGAAACCAAATGTTAGCCGACGAGCAAATTCAACTACCATCTAAACTATAGAAATTAAATGTAAGTTAAGTATGCCAACTATTTGGTCTATCAAAGCTAGACCAATTTTAGAGCAAATTACCCCACTAAGTGAAAGTATGAAACACAAGACAATTGGTGTTATTGGAAGTGCTGGAAGTGATAAATCATCTTTTCTTAATTCTATCCTCAGTGATGAATTATTACCAAATGATCGCAGGGAGAGTTGTATAGAATCAATTTCAGTGTTATCATCTTGGAATCAAGCATATTATGAGTTAATAGTATTTTTCAATCCGAAAGATCAGTGGAAGATGGAATCGAAATATGTACAAGAAACAATAAAAGCAGCGGAACGCGACGGAGAGATAGTACCTTCAGATGAAGTAAAAGCCTTTCAGTTAAAATAGAGTTGCCTCTGCGGAAGCGCAAATATTAGTACAACACCTCTCGATACACTAAAGAATATGAAGTATATTTGGCTAATGGATTACAAACATGTAAAGATCAACGGTATCAGTTTGCCAGCATGAAAGGTCGATGGTGGCCTCCCGTTGATAAGATATATATTTATGGTCCATTCAAGAACATAAATAGTGATACGACTCTATTTGATAGACCTGGTTATGATGATGGTTTTGAAGCGATGACAATTCGAGCAAATGAAGCTGCTGTAATTTGTGACCAATTAGTCCGAATTATTCGAGGCGATGGCCGTGATCCTCTTACGTCTAGTAGTTTTCTCAAAGGTTTACTTCAATCATCGACTTCAAGAAAACATTTATGCTTAGTCATAGCATATTACAATCTTATTGTAGAAGAAAACAAAAACGTAAATGGTAATGATGAAGAAATGAAAAAGAAATATAGAGTAGAACTTAAAGAGGTAGCTAATAAAACTTTATAAGATAGCTTTTCTATAGAATATGCATAAAAATGCATTAATGAGTTACCTGTATACTAAGTTATATAGAGAATAAATGTGATCGTGAAGAATGGTCTGAATTAGAACAAAATCTCTTAAATAAGTTTGTAGAGCAGGAACTAAATGGTTTTGTTAAGACAGAATTAATAATATTAACATACTCTTGACAGTTCTTTCGACTGAACTGTCGCATCCACTATTCGATCTCATAGATGAGAGTGAGCTGCAACCATCACGAGAAAAATGTCGGAAAACGTTCTTAGCATCAGTAGAACAATGGAAGTTATACCTAGAAAATGATTGCAAGAAAATCTGGGATAGTTATTATTGGCCAATTTTACAGAGAGTTTCTCCGAAAATAAATCCTGGTCAATACAAGACAAAAAACTATCAATCGTTACGATCAAATCTGAGAGATAAATCTAATGATATAGCGAACGATTTAAGTCGAGCTATAATAGACACAATTAGGATAGCGGAACTGCCCAATAGTGATTTTTTTCTTCATAGTCTAATACATATTGATAAATTACAACTTATTTTCGATGATTTTTTCCAAATATGCAAAGAAAAACTGAGACAGAAACAAGCGGAACATCTTTATTCAACAGTTGATCAATATGCTGCTAAAGTTCAATATCATATTAATTTATTTGTACAATCAATTAGTCGTCAACTTGATTCTATTAAGTATCGTATAATGTTCTGTTTGCAGAAGGCGATAACAGAAACAATGCATAATAGATTATGGATTAGTGAAAATCTTCAAAGTGCAACTGGTGATGGAACAAAACAAAAATATTTATCTAGCTTATGAAATTTCATTAAAGAATTGAATGATAAAAAGATTAGTTTTCCCGAAGGATTACATCGACATTTATTACCATGTTTTGCCGCTATTTCTACAAGCTTTAGTAGTTTAGAAACTGATATTCAATCAACCTTAGATAGAATAACTTTCGTTTGTAAAATCGATCCTGTACTGAAACAGAAAGCGCTTACTTGTCTTGTTTCATTACCATTAAATTTGATAGAAATTAATGAACAGTCATGATTTGTTAAACAACAACAGAAGCAACATTATTTGATATACATCAACTTGATCCTGAACTTCTATCTCCTATCCCTCAGTGTATACTAATATTGCAACGAATTATACTTTTTACGGATATGTTTATGTTTTAAGTAACATAAGTATGCCAAATCTGTTTAAGATCGGCTATACAACCTGGTTACCAGTTAAATGCGCTAAAACATTGTATACTACCGATGTTCTACAACCTTTTATTGTTGAAAAGTATTATCATTGTCACCATTGTAAATTATTTGAACAATGGATGCACAAAATTTTTCGAAAACATAGCGAAAATACTAGTCGAGAGTTTTTTTCGAGTACCACTATCGGTAATTATCGGCATAGGAGATCGTTTAATTAATACTATGCAAGAAAAATATGCTAACTCCTAATCATTGGATTCGTTCGAATAAGGATATCTCTTTTTTTAAATTAATTTTTCATCCGCAGAAATTTTTTATAGCTGATAAAGTGTAAGCCTTTTTTCTTTCCTCGTTTTTATTATAATAAATAATTTACTTTTCTTCAATGAAAAATATGTAGATCTTGTGAAGTCATACCGAATAATTATTCAGTCTAGAGGGTGTGCATGAGGGTAAATCGATGCTCAATCTATGATTAGTTGAATTGAGATATTTTCATTACGTTAATTTATTTTAAAATTATGTAAAAAAAGAAAAAATGTACTATTTTCAAGGCTGAATATAAATTTAAAATATTGCATTACTTTTCGTTAATGGATGTTCAACAAGCCACCGATGTTCTGCTCGCCGATTTGGATCTCGTTGAAGACTATGGTATAGAATATCTTGCACAAGATTTGATTGAGTTGGTGAATAACCTGATGGAGGCTGTGCACTTTCATAAACAGGAGATGTTCCATATGTTAAATAATATAAAATAGCACCTATAGACCAGATATCAGCTTTTGATGTTATAGGCATATAGTATACAAAACATTCTGGCGCACTATAAGGATGACTACCACCTCGCTGGTGTGGATTATATCTACGGAAGAAACAAAAGAACAAGAAAAATATTTAGAAAGTAATGAATGAGAGAACTTTACTGTGCAGATACATCTTGTGCAATACCAAAATCAATAAGTTTTAGCGTTGAACCAAAGAATACTAGATTAGCTGGTTTTAAATCACGATGAACCTATTTACAAGAGAAAATTGTATTTAGATATCTATATATAATTTTCTATTTTCTTTACTATATTATTTCGATGAAGTGCACAAACAATATTAACTAATTGAATCCAAATATTTTTTCGATCATATGCTGAAATATAATCATAACCATTTTGATGTGATTTGTAATGCGTTTGCTGTAAATATTGAATATGATCTTTAAATTTTGTATTTCCTAATTCCATTACAATATAACCCATTTGTCTTTCTCGATCGATATCAAATGTATGTAGAGTAACGACAGAATCTTTTTCATTTCTCAATCGATTAATCATTTTAATTTCATTTTGAAATGAATTCATACGTTGACTAGAATTGATATTATTTTTTGAATGATTAAAATCAAATATTTTCACTGCAGCATAATAACCTAAAAAGTTCATACATTGAATATTTATCAATTGAGAAAAGAATTGTAAATACCAGATCGTGTTTTTGATTTCCATACAGATGCAAATTTTCCTTGTCCTAACTGATCAAGTAATGTATATGATTCATCTTGAATATGAACTGTTCGATTACGAGACCAACCATCCTGAGGTGGAATGAAATAAGAAAAATCTACACATGAAAATAAAAATCAAAGCTTAAATTTCAATAGAAAAATCTACTATTTGTTTCACATACTCATATATTGAGGTTGATACATACTATAGACGTTAAAGTACATTTGTTTATTGATATGTGCTCGAATGAAAAAAAAACAGTGAAATTTAAGGAAGTTTCATACGTCATCGAAGAAGAACGAAACATATCAGGTATGTATACATGTCATAAATTTGTATATCATACAGTCATGTTTTCGTAGGCGAAAGGAAATATTCATAAAAAAAAGACATCCATGATGAAATCAAATTATTTATTTGTTAATAAGTCATATAATTATATAAAGGAAAAAGAACATAAAATAATAAAATGTAAAATTATCTTATATATATATGTACGTGCAAAAAATATCCCCGAGTGAAAGAAAAATACATATAACGTGAATATGGGAAAATCCTCTGTATCATAAGTGGCAACATACCGCTACGCTACACCTCGTCTTACATTTGAATAGAATATTTCGTTGTAAATGGCATGGGTCATTTGTTTTTTCACAAAATAGCTTTCGCAATGATTTGTTTGTTCTTATCGAGAAATATGAGTCAGTAGGGAGAAAAATATTATACAACTCAATGTAAAACCAAACATTATAAAATAGTATATAAAGCAGCACAACATACAGCGGAGACAATAACTTTTTTATTGCAGTAGACACATCAATATGTATTTAGCTGTTCAAATTGAAAAAGTGCCTCGACCTGAATTAGTTAAACATGATTCGGCTATTCTTGGTAAGATATTCTTAGAAGGAATGCTGTTAAGTATAGGTATATATATATGTATTTAGATCTTGTTTTTGCCATGGATTGCACAGGCTCGATGGGACCATATATTGAAAGTGCAAAAGACAATATTCATGGTACTATTGAACAAATAATTGCAAATGAAACGAGTGACATTCGATTAGCACTTGTAGAATATCGAGATCATCCACCACAAGTAAGTTGAATGCTTTGCTGAAAAAAGAAAATCCATTATATTGCTAAATAATTTTTGGGATGAAACTTTTGTTACACGTGTGCATGACTTTACGGATAGTGTTAACGAAATGAAAAGCTGGTTACATATTTGTAACGCAGATGGTGATGGTGATGCGCCTGAAGCTGTTGCTGATGCTCTTCATGATGTTCTCAAGCTATCGTGGCGGAAAGATTCAACAAAAATTAGTATTCTAATTTCTGATGCACCACCACATGATTTGAGCGAAGAAAGTGATCATTTTCCAAAAGGATGTCCTGTTGGTCATGATCCAGCACGACACGTTCGGGAAATGGCCGAAAAATGCATAACATTGTATGTTGTGGGTGTTGAACCATCAATTCGTAAAGTATTTCTATATTCTTATTGAAGGAAATAATTTATATTTTGTGTCTTTTAGTTCCTTATCGTGACTTTTTCATGGGATTAGCCTATATAACTGGTGGTCAATATGTTCCTATGATCAATGCAGATCTTTTAGCAAAAGTTATTATTAGTGGAGTAAGTGAAGAGATATCATTAGACCGTTTAAGAGCGGGTCCATGAGAATACCGACCTAGCTGGCTGTAGAAAAATTTTTTTTTCGGGTTTTTTCTATCTTAAATTGAAGGTCATATTTAGTTATTTTAAAACCCAAAATATTAGCCTCTTCTGATGAATCAATCAAAAATGGGAGTAGTCACAATCTTACGATTTTTTTAGTCAAATCACAGAAATTGGGAAAAGCGACAGTTTTCGTATTTCGAGATTTGCCGAGCCATTTTTGCTCGCTNATTCTAAAAAGTCGTCGATTTCGGCCACTGTAGAGGCTTAATCTCTCGACAAAATCTTTTTTAAGGATTATTGACAGTAACCATCTTGTAGAGCAGATATTTCTGCATCTTTTAAGACCTTTCTCAGCAATAAGCGAGCAAAAATGGCTCGGCAAATCTCGAAATACGAAAACTGTCGCTTTTCCCAATTTCTGTGATTTGACTAAAAAAATCGTAAGATTGTGACTACTCCCATTTTTGTTCGATTCATCAGGAAAGGCTAATATTTTGGGTTTTAAAATAACTAAATATGACCTTCAATTTAAGATAGAAAAAACCCGAAAAAAAAACTTTTGTACAGCCGACCCTATATAAGTTAGGTCGGTATTCTCATGGACCCGCTCTTAATGCAAGATGCTCTACCAGATATTGATCGTATAATGAAAATTGCAAAAGATGAAGGCGTGGATGAAAAAGACAAAGCCACACGACTCAATGAGATTTTCTCTGCTCGCAATATACGTTTGAAACGAATGAAAAACTCTCATGGTGCTTTATCACCTGCAGCTACAGATGGTTATGCTAAATGTCCGGATATGACCGAAATGAGAATACTGTTTCAATTACAATCAGAAACTAATTCAGACAGCTGTTCTACAGACACAACATCTAATTTATCATCGGATGTTAACTATGATTTAATAGAAGATGTAATGATCAGTGCGATCAAACAGCACGTATGGTGCAAAAATGGCAAGAAATAAATAAAAGGAAATATTATTAGACTTTTTTTCGTATTCTTAAGTTAAATTTAAAAAAAATATTTTGGAAAACGGACAGAAATGTCAATCATGTTCGCACGTTTTGATTTGTGGAAACAGTTGTGATCAACTTCCGAATCTAAATCACTTGAAATTTTTAAATGTAAATACGCATTAATATGACTGTCGCATCTAGGAGAAGCTGCTTTTATTTTCACAATTGATTTTTTTCCGGACTTTGTTCTCAAAAAAAAGAATCACTTAATAACTTATTCATTCAGAAAATCGATTTTCCATTTCGACAGAGCTTCGATCCGACAACTTCAATATTTTACGACTTACATTTATGCCAACACAGTAATAAAACAAAAATAATTGCAAATAGTAATTGTTAATTCATTACATATCGAAAGTGTATAAAGAATTGTGAAATATCCTTTGAATATCAGATAGAGAAAGAAGAACAAAAAACTTGATTATACCTGAGCAGACAAGAATTCGGAAAAACGCGTGTTCACGCTATAAAAGTGATATTTTCCAATGATTACACGCGTGTAAAATAAGGACGTGTAAACATCGTAATTTAATATTTTTGGTAAACAAAAGGGAAAAATATTAAGCTCCATCATTTTTCATCACATAAACGCTGAGAAGACACATTTTATAGCCGTGTAAACATAGATTTTCCTAAATGCACGTGTTTTGAGTATAAATTTACTATATTTGGATGTTTTCACGTCTAATCTCTGTTGCAAAATAAACGATATTTCATAATTGACGTGAATTCGTCAAATACTTTCAGTTATGAAGGGTTTACAAACCAAATATATTTAGTCGTTTTGTTGATGTGAAAATTATGCTGTGATAACAAGGATAATTAGTTGAATACCGCGTGTTTGTTGTAAGAATTTTTATTGTCATTCTCGTGCAAAATTTCAGACCGTTTTAACAGCCACAGATTTACATCAAGAAGTTTTTGCCCAGCTACGCGGGCAGTTTTCAGAAATTTTTCTTGTTTAAACGCTTACATTTATGAAATATTTTGTTTACGAAAAAATCATACAACTTTCATGGTGTATACAAGTACATTTATGACTATTTGCTGATTTATCTCATTGAAGTATAATGATAACTGATTTTTCACACATATCGATGCTCATTTATAAGATTGTAGTAGAGATAAATGAAAGTATTGCAATTTTTCATATTATCTAAATGTTTGTTCTTATAGCTTGAACGAGAGTAATGCATATGATGAGTCAAAAATGGATTTTAGAAAATAAATGAAATAGAATATAAGAAGAATCAGTTATTCCAAGAAAAATAAAATAAAATAATGTCTACGTGCTTTCAACTACGTTTGGATATCTATAAAAATTAAAAGTTTCTTGCTTACTGTAAACTAATTTCACAATTATGTCGTTCAAGTGAACTGTTATCATTTGAGGAGGATCTGTGAGATTCCCATAGAAAATAAACGGATTAATGGTATTCGTGTTTTTAAACATAAAAGAATCTGGCTTGTAAACATCTACTTTGTGAAGTACCACGTAACATTCTTGTTTTAAATCATACACAATGGCAATAATGAAACCACAATTTGTTTCATATTGATTTTTGAATAATACACACGCATCGCAAATTTTACTCTTTGATTTGGACTGGAATGTAGAAAATCGTGTGTTATTCTTCCAACAACTCTTACATGGATTAAAATTGAAAACGTGTGTCTTTTGCAAGTGAACTGATATAACCTGACTATTTTTTAACTTAAGTCTGTGACCTAAACGAATCAAAGTGTTTCCATTTATTATTTTGTGTTCAGGAAAAGCATGTCGTTTTGATGATAATAAATGACGTAAAAATAACTTCATAGGTACACTGAAGTTTGTGTCATTAAATCGAAATGTTGCACATCGTATAATATTAATATTATTAATCAATTCTGGAATAATCAGATTTGGCCCATTTATTGACTGAACTATACTGCCTAAAATAAACTCTATCGAAGAATGAAAAACTAGTTGAGTCTGTGCATTATATAGTTGCACATAATTCGAGTTGATTTTCATGATTCTATGAAATTTTTTGAGAATGCAGCACATACAATATCAATAGAGTTAATAATTGAACTCAAATATATTGGGATTATTTTGCAGACAAGGGTTACTGAAGAGTCGTAAGCTGATAATTCGACATAAATTTTACACTAGTATGAACGGATTCTATAATCATTTTTGGGTAGATAGAAATTGTCTAGATTATAGATGAATGATTATGATTGACTCGATATCGCTCTAATATTAGTAGATATCATTTTTTCTCACATGTTAGATACTCAATGGCGATCAAATGATCAGCTTTATATCGTAAAAGCGTACCAATAGCACTATCTAAGTTGAAAGTCGAGTAATTTTGGACAGGACCAAAATCTTTTAGTGTCTGTGCGACATGAACAATTGAGTGTAGCACCGAAGTCATAGATTTTATCTAAAAAGTATTAAATTGTTAAAATCTTAATTCTTTTATTCATTGAATTATCGTTGATATCGATGATGAATTCCATATTTAGATTGTAAGACTCAATTTGTAAACAATATTTTCGATACTGTTTCGAGCAACGCTCTTGACATATCTTCTATCGATATGTTCACATCAAAGACGACGGCATTTGTCAGGTTTATATCATATTTTGAGGAAACAAATTGATGTATTAAAGAAAAATTAAATATCTCACTTTATTATGTATATGGCAATGAACTATACTACTAGTAACGCAACGTGAGCGTTGCTAACTCTCTACTGAAAGGAACGCTCTCGTCCCATTAGTATCAATCATTTTTTCTAAGAGATAACTTTATAGGCTATACTCTGATACAAGAAATAGTTCTTAAGTAAATATCGAATTATATGAAATTTTCAACTGAGTTTCGACAAAGACATGTTGAAACCACGTGAAAGTTATTTAAAGCTATGCTACAAAATATCATTTCTCTAATACACACACACCTAGTCGTTAACATGCATGCTTTCACTTTTTCATTTGCTTCGAATTCACTATCGAGACGAAAAAACTCATTTTCTTAGCTGTCGTCTGCAAAAGTCACTCACTTTATGTTACTATGATTCTCGGAAATAAGCTAAAAGGATGAAATAATATTTTATGCGCTCCAAGAGTAGTATACCTGTTCACTTGTTTGGAATGCTATTTATATGTTACTGTCTATGGAAATCTAATAGTAGAATCATAACGAAGCATTTCGTGTTGATCGACATATTTCTGTTGAAAATGCTATCAAGTTCTGACGTGTAGCAATCGACGGCATAAAAATCCTAGAAGAAAGATGATTTCAAGCTCGTATCTCCTTTCGATGATTTGAACGACAGTTTTTACGGAGTGTTACTAAACCTTATTCCTAGAACTCATGAATCGATTTATTAGCCCATGCAACCATTAGTACCACGTGGTTAATTCGCTTTCGTTGAAGTTTGAAAAAGGAATATATACACATCTTTTTCTCTCAAGAGGAAGACACAGGATTTCAATTTCAATCAATTACAAACAACGGAAATCAGGCTTGAAAAAGGTACTTATCCGTAAATTTTAATTAACCTCTAATAAAAATTGCTGCAAATTAGATTCACCTAAACGGAAGGATGAGAAAAAATAAAAAGCATATATCACAAGAACTGAACACCAGATTCGTGTTCCTCGACCCTGAGAACCCTTCGGTCAACCCTTATGAAAAAGCTTTTAATAATTTGTAATTTGTAATCGAACGAACATTAACTACTTTGGCTATATACCCTCCTTTCAGTAGAGGGAATTAGAAACAGAATGTTATTTACTTGTAGAAGAAAGCTTACATTTTCTTTATTAGCAAATTTTCCGATACGAGTGGCGCTACAAATCGAACAGACACCTTAGAACAGGGAATTGCTCGTTCTCGCAAATCCTCTACTGTGTGTGCCTCCAGCTTCTCGATCGAATAACAGATAAATCCATCTGCAAAATCAGCCGGCAACGGAGTACGTTTTGTCAGTAATGACCATGTCAATCGATCCCGAGATTGACTTAGAAAAGAATGATAGATGCAGGGATTCATCCATGCGTTGTACGATAGATTTCGCGTCAACATTCATACTGGAACTTGAAACCTACCAAGAGTGGTATGTCTCGCTCAGATACAACGCTCAAATCCGGTCAAACTTACTTCATAGTCCCCACCTTTGAGATCAATACTACATGAACTACGTCTTGCTTCTGAGGAGTATCTGCCATATAATAAGTCAATTCCAAATCTCGTACGAATAATATTCTAAAAAACCGACCAAATCAGTACTATCCTACAGCGATAACTCACTTTCTATGTTATTTGTATGCATATATTTTGTCAATTATTGCTAATTGACGATGCATTCGAATAGTTTGCTTTCTCTATTCTTAATAGGCTCGAGTGACTTCGCTACTTCAATCAGAAGAGCAAACTACAGTCATAGGCAATTTTTAGGTCATGCTAAACAAAAAATTAAGTACAACCATTCTTGATATTTCTCTCTTACTGTAATTCATAACCCATCCAAGGTATTTATTGACAAAAAAAAGGATAACAACTTACGAGATTACCTCTGAATATAACAATCGTTTTAGTTAGTGCATATATTTTCACCACTATCTTTTTTGCATTTTGTCAAAAAACACGAAAATCTATCATTCACAAAATTTTAGTCATTTTCATCTGTTTCTTACTCAAAATGCTCGACAGAATGTGCTTCAATTCCTATCTTTAAATAAATGCTCACAGACATTGACATCAGCTTGTGCTGAAGTGACGTGAACCAGGATTGCATAATTGTTCTGTACGGGCTTCGTACGTTAAATATAGGAAGACTAAACTTAGTTGAAATAGCTGTCGTCTGAATGATAGAAATGTTACATCTTTCTCTATTTAACTGACTCAGCATTCCACGTGACGTGAACAGTGCGTATGAGTAGACATATTTATGTAGATGCTTTTAAGAAGGATAGGACAGAAGTAGATTCATTCGGCATATTCGGAACTTCTGTTGGAGCACCAAGACTTGATTAAAAATACGCTATTAGATAATTAAAATTGACGCATTGTATGAATCTTTCATTCAAACTATAAAATGACGAGAAAGACCATTTACTATTTCAATAAATCCTATATTTCGACACTGAAGATAAAATTAGTAGTATTCTACAAAGTATTACATAACTGCTTCGAACTGTAATGCAATTTTTAATTTCTAGATTGCATATTGGACAAGGTATTTCATAGAATTCTTTTCTGAAATTGAGCATCTTTCAATCGAAGGCTAACGATAGAGAAGATGATCATCATGTTCATATTTCTGATTATGGGCGCAGTTATTTTAAAACGTATGCCTTTATCAAAAATGATTACACTAGAATATCCAACGACAGAAGAATTTGCCAGTTTCTGTCGTCCTTCTAAATCCTATGTTCAAGCAAGGGGGCAGAATCACATGTCCAACAGTGTGGTTCCAATTATGACTATGGACAAGATATAGTTATCCAGAAAGAATTTTATGAATATGCACGCTTAAGAGAGGCACTATGTGAACATCCAATCCTCACTAAAACGTTTATAGGAAGACGAATGTATCGATTATCTATTATCGCATATTTCTACGGAAGAAATATTCACTAAGCTTGAACAGACTATAACGACAGTTGGTTTTCTCGTCGATCAATCAATTGATGATTGAGAGCTGGAGTACATATATTTCACATGAGAAATAGCATAACTCGAAATCAACGCACTGCTTGATTTGTACTATATCGCGATCTTATCCTTGTGAAAAGAAAAGAGAAGCTTTTTAATTTCGTCATCAAAATAGAAAAGAGAACGAAAAACATGCCTTTACATACCCTCTCGCGCTCTTCGCGATACGATTATATCATGTGCTAGTAGTGATTTTTTCACACGAAACAGCGAAAGAAAAAAGCCTATTTTTTCTAAAACAAGGACAATTTCGAACGTTGTTAGTTTAGATCATGATCGGTGTAGACTTTACTGAGATCGATAAAACGACGAGATATCAACTTCTTTGCAGCGCTGTTGTTCCTCGGCCGATTGCATTCATTAGTACGATTGATAGTAGAACAGGTATATTTTTTCTCCAATACATTTTCCCTTTGATATTGTTCTTGACTTTCAGGCATAAAAAACCTTGCACCGTTATCCTTTTTCAATTGTGTTACTAGTGAACCTCCAACTGTGATGTTTTCTCTAACTAGGAAACGCGATGGGAGCAAGAAGGATACTTTAATTAACATCGAAAATGAAAAGCATTTTATTATAAATCATGTGACGAAAGAGCTCTTCCCTCAAGCTTATGACGCGTCTGCTGAGTTCGCATCGGACATTGACGAATTCGATGTCGTTGGTTTAACTGCATTACCTGGCTTCAAGGTGAATTCTCCAAGAGTGAAAGAATCACCGATCCATTTCGAATGCGAACTGTATAACTCAATGCAGGTGGGTGATGGAAATTATGGTAGTTCAACGATCATTGTTGGGAAAGTAGTTTATATGCACATCGATCAATCCCTCTATCAGGATGGAATTTTAGACATGTCATCGATTACAACTGTATCAAGATTAGGAGGTATGAGTTATGGTTATGCAGAAAAGAAATTTGATTGTGACAAAGAGACTTGGAATGTAACAAACTGGTGAACAGTTTTATTTTGAAATAAAATATCTATTTTGAATACGTCGTCATTTCTTTGCCACCATGCCAATTGACGGAGCACGATTAATTAAATCATCAAAAAACGCGTAATCATCAGCATTCTTATCGTATTGATAAGGGACCCATTCTAATGATTTAAAACCAGCTTCGCGAAATACTTGCTCATAAGTACTCGGCGAATAATAATAATTGATAAAAGGCGTTGTCGGTTGATCATGTTCGTCATAGAGCGTAACAACAATTTCTGTTCCATCGGGAATTCTCTCTCCATCGAGAGGATCTTTGATTTCTCGTGTAACACCGTATTTTCGTTGATCGAACATCTTTTTTCCTGCTATGACGTTGCCTATAATTCCAATAACATGTTTTCCTTCACCCAATTGATTCGAAATAATGCGCACCATTGCCAACAATTCGTCTCTATCTCGTGCATAGTCGAACAGATAAAATCCGGTAATCAAATCATATAATTGTTGCGATGAAGATAGATTAATAACATCGTTCACTTCATATTCAATGCCTTTCGGGTCACGTCGTTCAATCTTGCGTGCGATGTCAATCATCGGTGCACTCAAATCCACACCACGGATATAAGCGCAACCTAAATCTTTCAATTGCCGTGTATAATGACCGTTACCACAAGCCAAATCAAGGATGCGTTTGCCGGTTAACAAACCACGATCGTTGAGTAATGGTTTTAACATACATTCGTGAATGGTGTAATGTTCAACCGGAAGACGAACATTTTTCTCTCGATATTCTGTGAATTCGGTCGCAAATTGCGATTCATCTTCGTGTGCTACTGCTTCGTGAACTTCCATCGTTGCGCAAATAATGTCAACAAGATGAAAAAGAAAGTAAAAGTGCAAATTCAACTAAAATTTATTCTTGTGATGACGAACTGATGGGAAAAAATAGGAGTGTGCTGACTCCGTTATCTATGGATATTTAACTATTCTCTTGTCCTCTTTTATTCGTTTGATATTTATTGACTTTGACCAGCTCGTATTATTGATAAAACAGAAGAGAAAGAAAAAAGTTATTCGAGTAAATATTCTCGATAAAGTCACTTCAGTTTTATGATTGAGAAAACGTTTTTATTACATTTTTGAGATGGTTGTAGTGGCATGTAGAACAATCATCTGTGTAGTAAACTTTTATTCTCCAATTACAGATTCTGAAATCATCAATGGATCGAATCGATTATTTAACATTCTTCGTCAATGGAACAGAAATCATTGCCCGGGATTGTCAACCAGAATGGACTCTATTGTGGTATTTGAGAAACAGTGAATATCATAAATGAATCTTAACTAATACTACGAAGTGTATTTTAGAATGTCATTTGACTGGTCCGAAGTTAGGATGTGGAGAAGGTGTGTGTGTTTGGAGAACAAACCATATATTCAGAATATCTTCATTCATTGTAGGTGGTTGTGGTGCATGTACTGTGCTGATTTCCCATCACGACGAAGCATCAGACAAGATTGTTCATCGAGCAGTCAATGGATGTCTAGTTTCGATTTGTTCGGTGGATGGATGTCATATAACGACAGTCGAAGGTCTTAGTAGTATAAAGGACGATTCGTTACATCCAATACAACAACGTTTCGCTGAACTGTATGCATCACAGTGTGGTTTTTGTACGCCGGGGATGGTCATGGCATTGTATGGTACGCTGAATAATATCGAAAACCCGACAATGAAGGATATTGAAGATTCCTTTGATGGCAATCTATGCCGTTGCACTGGTTATCGGCCAATATTAGACGCAGCAAAAACATTCGCATGTGACAAACAATCAGTTGATTGTAATAAAAATCAATCAGTCGACCCTACAACGATTATCAGTACAACGGAAAATAAACTACTGAACTATAGTGATACGCAGTGTCCTGTTTTTTTATTTCCGCCATCATTGTTGAAGCACAAAGTACAATCGATACACATCTCAGGTAAATCTTCCGAATGGTATCGTTCAACGTCATTGGCCGAACTTATCGCATTGAAGAGAGAACATCCAACAGCAAAAATAGTTTCTGGTCATACAATGGTTCAGATGGATCGAAAGTTTAAGGATAAAAAGTATTCTGTTCTAATTGCTATTTCACAAATTTCAGAATTAAATGTGATAGAGAAATCCGAGCATGGTATGACCATCGGTGCTTGTACAACAATTGCAAAATTCAAAGAGTACTGTCAATCATGTTTACAGGCATTACCATCACACCAGATGCGAACATGTCAAGCACTTTTAAGCCAGTTGAACATTTTCGGTTCACAACAAATTCGAAACCTGGCAACCGTGGGTGGTAATATCATGCATGGATCGCCCATATCGAGTTTAAATCCTGTTTTACAAGCATGTGATGCAAAATTGAAATTAATCAATTGTAATAATAGTGAAGAATATGAAATACCTTTACGCGAATTCTGCTTATTGAAGAAGAAATTGGGTGTGGAACATAACCAAATTTTGGTATCAGTTTATATTCCTTTTGCAGAGAAAAATGAATATTTACAATCGTACAAGCAATCGAAACGACGAAAATTGGATATTCCTATCATAACCTGTGCGTTTCAAGTGAAATTAGAACAAGTTTCGATACAAGTTAATGAGTGTGCACCAGACTTGAAGTGGAAGATCCAATCGACATGTCTGGCGCTGGGCAGTATGGCTCCGTACACAATCACGATGAGCAAAACACAAGATTACCTTCGAGATAGACCGTGGTGCAGACAAACAATGAAAGATGCATTGAAATGTTTACTTAATGAATTACCATTGGACGAATTCAGCCCAGGAGGGCAACCAGAATATCGGTAAATATTTTTCATCTTATCTTATCTAACGGTATCTTTTGATTTAGTCGAACATTGATGACGTCATTTTTCTTCAAATTTTATCTGTTCGTAACTGAACAATTACGAGAAACTCGTCCGGAGATATCAACAGATGAATTGTCTCCAAGTGAACTATCGATAGCAACACCATACATACGAAATCTCTCGCGCGGTGAACAAGAATTTCAGTCAAAGCCGAATTCAAATTACATTGTCGGTTCGTCCCATACACACAATAGTGCTTCTGTACATGGAACAGGAGAAGCGAAATATACTTGCGATATACCAACACCTTCCGATGGTTTATATTCTGCTCTTGTCTTAAGTACAGAACCCTATGCAAAAATTCTCTCGATTGACACAACACAAGCTGAAGCAATGCCCGGTTTCAAAGCATTCATTAGTCATTTGGATGTTACCGGTAGTCTTATGACCGGTGATGTTGTAAACGATGAAGAAGTATTTCCAACAACAACTATTTATTGTATTGGCACAATAATTGGTATGGTTGTTGCGGACAGTGAAGAAGGAGCACAACAAGCATCGAAGTTGATTCAAGTAAAATATGAATGTTTAGAACCGTTGATTGTCACCATCGATCAAGCAGTTGAACATCAGTCGTACTCAGGACGAGAACTTTCTTTAAAATTCGGCGACATTGAACAAGGCTTCCAAGAATCTGAACATATCATCAATGGTGAATTCTATATGGGTGGTCAGGAACATTTTTATTTGGAAACAAATTGCTGTTTGGCTATACCGCATGAACGTGGCGAATTGGAAATCTATGCATCAACACAGAATGCAACCGGGGTTCAGGAAAAGGTCGCTGCAGCATTAGGTATACCCAGCCATAAAATAGTTGTTCACGTCAAACGAATCGGTGGAGGATTTGGTGGTAAGGATTCCATTCGTCACATAAGACTCTGCATTGCCGTTTCCATTGCTGCTTTGAAATTAAAACGACCCGTTCGCTTAACACTCGATCGAAATACCGATATGTTAATCANTGTGTCACATCTCTGTTAACGTTCGTCTAGATAGAATACTAGTAACGCAACGTGAGCATTGCTCACCCTCTACTGAAAGGAACGCTCTCGCCCCATTAGTATCAATCATTTTTTTCTAATAGATAACTTTAGAGGCTATACTCTGATACAAGAAATAGTTCTTAAGTAAATACCGAATTATATGAAATTTTCTTAAAAGATTTCGACTCACATTCACTGTATTTTTTTTTCTGAGAAGATCAACAACTGAACATCTAGTCGGTCGGCCAGTCGTCCACATGCATAATCTTTTTCTTATTATCTCTTAAGCCACACGATGATATTATGCCAAAAAAGCTCCTCACAATAGATAAATTTATAACCGGAGACGCAGGATATTTACATGAGTGTGTGATTGCTAGAGTGAGAGACGTGTTTTCTAGTGTGCACGCATATGTATCTCTATTTATTTCGAAAAGAAGCACGACTTTATATAGATGGGTTCAACAAAGGATGGATCGAGGTAATCGAGAAAGAAGAAAGAAACAAAGAGATGATATCTTAGATGGATATCGTCTGTCGAGGTATCATCTCTAACAATCAATAAATACATTACAGACAACAAAAAATACTACAATTGATTTAAATCAAGTTTCTCACATATCTATACTAACAATTTGAATTGGATCAATGCGATTTTGTCGGAATCGATTCATATAAATTTCATATAAAACATATTTGGCTTGACGACGAAATCTTTTTGATACAAATATATATGTGTAAAATGAACTCTAAACAAATAAAAATGATATATTGTCCATTTTCTAAAGACATATTTTTACCCCATTAGTAAAAATATTCCATGTCAGTACAATTGCATTTATTAAATTCATTTGAGCAAGTAAAATGCGATCATTGCTCATATATAATGATAGAAATCCATTTGTAATCATATAAGGTAAATATGTACAAATATAAACACAAATTTGAACAAGAACCATACTTGTTAATTGTTTATCTAATTCACGACGAACAAGTGGATTTATTCTTGTTGTTAATGTTCTTGCATTTCTATATGATAATATACCAAATATGACTGCAATTAATGGTAATATATTACCGATGGTTAGAAGATTTCCATAAATATCATATCGAAGAAATATTAGATTAGATGGAATACAAATAGCTGTATTTGCTGGTGAGAGTTCTCGAAAATAAATACTATAAACAATTGCGTGTCCCATCCATATCAATGTAACAATGAATGTGATTCGACGAGCTAATTTAATATTCGACCATCTTTGCCATCGTGGATGATTACATGTTGCAAAATATTGATCAATTATTGCCGAACATAACATTGTTGTTGCACTAATCGCAGAAAATGCAGCAACAAAATTTCTTATTTCACAATAAAAAATTAAAGCTGGTTGCCAATTAATTGTGAATGCAATAGAAATAGTTATAAGTGATGTACTAAATAATAATCGAATCAAACTAAATATTGACATAAATAAAAGATAAAATGAACAAGAATTTTGTCGAAATGTTTCGAGACTAAGAAAAACAATTATACTACAAATTTCACTTAAAACACCAATCAACCAAACGGGAATTGATATATAACGACCAAACTGTGTTCGAGCATTGTAAAGCGAGATGATATATTCGTTATTCATTTGTATCAATTGAAATAAAAATAAAGTTTGTCGTTTTTTTTAGAATTGATGATAAAAGGCGGTATCTGAACAAAGGTTAAAGTTAATGAGATTGCTTTTTTGTAATAAAAGTCAACTTCAAAAGAAAAGAAACATTCTTTTTTTCTGTTTCTCAGTAAAAAAAATGATTCGTCAGCTGAGAGAGACAAAATAATTCATTAATCTTTTGAATCTCAACAATTTCTTGTGTTATGTGTAAAACAGGAAAAGAATTAGAAAATTTGTCTTTTTCTGTTCAGTCAATTCTATTTGAATCTTGTATATTTATTAATATCAACTAATACGTCTTTCATATTCTATGTGTTACCTGAGAAAATATCTTTAATTGAACGGATTAATAGATTGAAACATTTAATCCATTCAAAACTCTGACAATACTCATGCTTTTCAAGCAGAAATATAGAAGAAGAAGAAGAAGCTTTTAGTGGAATGACTACAGTATCAAAAATGTAAAATATGATGAAACTTTTATCTATTTCATGAAATTATGTACGATTGGTCTCTTTGATCCAGTATAAATCATGATCTATCATGGAGTAATAGGACTTTTCTTGCGATATAAATCAATCAAAGGAGTTGGACTTCATGGACGTCAATATACATATATATCAATCAGTAATACTAAGCATCGAACTTTATCTAAATTATAGCAATTATGATATCTTTTCTGTAAGATTTACAAATTCATAGTGGGAATTTTTGCCATCCAAGTTGATTTCGTTGTTTTTAATAGCTTTATGCACTTTCTTACTCTATCAAACTATACTACTTCGGTCTGATTTGCTAGAGTCCTCCTATAAAATAATGGTGAGGTAAAAATAGAGACTCTAGAAAGTTTTTGAAGGGTTATAACACATTTGATGTTTTCATCACCTTTCTGTTTAGCGAGGGCAGACCATGCCAAACTATTAAAAATAACGTAATCAACTTGTATATCAATTGTTCTTTACAATGTGCAATTTGAGAACACTGATATTTATACTTGTCAAGACGGATCTATTAGTGAATATAAATCGAAAAATAAATCATTCTCAGAACTATATACAGAAAATGTATAAGAAGAAGTATTGTCCTGAAAAAAATGATGTTATTGTTTTTGTAAAATAAATTTTTTATTAAAACAATAATAGCAACATTGAAAAAATACGATAAAATAATATAAGTAAATGTAAATCGATATAATTCTGGTTGACAATAACTATATGGATAAAATTGTGTTCTTGTATCATAATGATAAGTAATCCAATGATATATATTAAATGTCCATATACTTCCAATGATGGCCCAAACGATTAAAAATATTGTCGAAAGAATGATAATTATACTGAATATAATTACAACAAATGGTAAAGTAAATGAAGAATTTTCTTTAGCCATTTGGATTATTATTATTGAAACAATAATAACAAGTATTAACCATCCAAATAAAACACTTCCATGAACGATTAAGAAAATGGCAATACGTGGTTCAATTGGACAATAACGTGAATCATGATAATTTATTCCAACAGTAAATACAGCTATTAGAATGAATAGTAGAATAAAAAGAAATATTAAACAAAAATTCGATGAGGGTGTAAGGGAGTGTAGTGGAAGGTGTATAAGTGAAGATGTCACTGACTGTGACGCGATTCGATCGAAAGCGCAGCATCGAATTATATTGATATTGTCAGAGATTTTTCACCAAAACACTGCATATATAAATGAATTTGCTGATAAAGTAATTGCCGGTATAATGAGCGTCAGCAGACTGATTGTCGGCAACGTGTACCGGACCCTCCCCAAAAGGATCGCGCAAAAGCAGTGGAGCTAGTTTCATCGTGTTTCACATTTTAATCCCGATAGGGATTGCTCTGAAAGCTTTTTAAATGATGCTCAATAGTTTAAGGATTAATTAAAGATGCGGATGATTATGTTTTTTATTTATGTTATCAATAAAAGCATATACAAGACCAAACAGAAAATTAACCAAAAGAAAGTAAATAATAGTGAAGTTATTTTCGAAAGATTCAATATCTGCATCCACTTAATCGCTTTTCATTCGCGCGGTTGCCCGTTCTTGATCAATACTGATGATTTCGTTTAGGTACTGTCACGCACAGTTTTCTTTTGCGTGTCTTAGATTGTCCTGCATTTTGAAAGTATTCTGCCTGTCGATCAAGCATTTGTTTAATGTATCGTGTGATTTCATCGTTTGATCAAAGCCGATGACTTATCAGAGAAGTGTGTATCTTTCATACACAACCAATACCAAATTCTTCTGCACGTTGACCGTTGATCATCTGGTCGGCAAATAATGGCCATACACGCAAGCACACTATTTCAATCACCGTGCGATATGAATAGACGCACAGCGGGGTGACAAAAGATTAAACGTTGCGTTGCCCAATAGAGAAACAAATATTTCTCATCGTTAATAAATGAACGTTGACAGACATGCGCGAAGTTTCGGTTTCAACGACCAAATGACAGGATATGACGCCAGTGCCACACCGATTTCATTCAACTGCTCGGATGCTATGGAAGCAACTGTAACAAAAGAGAGATATAACACTGATGATAGACCGTTGCTCAGCTCCCATTGTGTATCCAACCAGTGTGTCACATCTCTGTTAACGTTCGTCTAGATAGAATACTAGTAACGCAACGTGAGCATTGCTCACCCTCTACTGAAAGGAACGCTCTCGCCCCATTAGTATCAATCATTTTTTTCTAATAGATAACTTTAGAGGCTATACTCTGATACAAGAAATAGTTCTTAAGTAAATACCGAATTATATGAAATTTTCTTAAAAGGTTTCGACTCACACTCACTTTATTTTTTTCTGAGAAGATCAACAACTGAACATCTAGTCGGTCGGCCAGTCGTCCACATGCATAATCTTTTTCTTATTATCTCTTAAGTCACACGATGATATTATGCAAAAAAAGCTTCTCACAGGAGATAAATTTATAACCAGAGACGCAGGATATTTACATGAGTGTGTGATTTTTTCGGATATGTTTCGTTCCCCCTTCAGTTCCTGAAACCTAAAAGGCTGTCACAACCGTTATTGCAAGTTTTCAATTGAGTTTCGACAAAGACATGTTGAAACCACGTGAAAGTTATTTAAAACTATGATACAAAATATCACTTCCCTATTACACGCCTAGTCGTTAACATACACGCTTTCACTTTTTCATCTGCTTCGAATCCACTATCGAGATGAAAAAACTCATTTTCTCAGCTGCCGTCTTCAAAAGTCACTCACTTTGTGTTATTATGACTCTCGGAAATAAAGTAAAAGGATGAAATTATATTTTATGCGCACCAAGAGTTAGACAAAATTTGTCTAGTATATCTGTTCACTTGTTTGGAATATGGAAATCTAATAGTAGAATCATAACGAAGCACTTCGTGTTGATCGACATATTTCTGTTGAAAATTCTATCAAGTTCTGACGTGTAGCCATCGACGGGATAAAAATCCTAAAAGAAAGATGATCCCAAGCTCGTATCTCCTTTCGATAATTTGAACGACAGTTTTTACGGAGTCTTACTAAACCTTATTCCTAGAACTCATGAATCGATTTATTAGCCTCTGCAACCATTAGTACCACGTGGTTCATTCGCTTTCCTTGAAGTTTGAAAAAGGAATATATACACATCTTTTTCTCTCAAGAGGAAGACACAGAATTCAATTCCAATCAATTCCAAACAACTGAAACCAGGCTTGAAAAAAGTAATTACCCGTAAATTTTAATTAACCTCTAATAAAAATTGCTGCAAATTAGATTCACCTAAGCGGAAGGATGAGAAAAAATAAAAAGCATATATCACAAGAACTGAACACCAGATTCGTGTTCCTCGACCCCGAGAACCCTTCGGTCAACCCGTATGAAAAAGCTTTTAATAATTTGTAATTTGTAATCGAACGAACGAACGAACGAACATTAACTACTTTGCGTACATACCCTCCTTTCAGTAGAGGGAATTAGAAACAGAATGTTATTTACTTGTAGACGAAAGCTTAAATTTTCTTTATTAGCAAATTTTCCGATACGAGTGGCGCTACAAATCGAACAGGCACCTTAGAACAGGGAATTGCTCGTTGTCGCCAATCCTCTACTGTGTGTGCCTCCAGCTTTTCGATTGAATAACAGATAAATCCATCTGCAAAATCAGCCGGCAACGGAGTACGTATTGTCAGTAATGACCATGTCAATCGATCGTGAGATTGACTTAGAAAAGAATGATAGATGCAGGGATTCATCCATGCGTTGTACGATAGATTTCACGTTAACATTCATACTGGAAGTTGAAATCTAGCAAGAGTGGTATGTCTCGCTCAGATACAACGCTCAAATCCGGTCAAACTTACTTCATAGTCCCCATCTTTGAGATCAATACTACTTGACCTACGTCTTGCTTCTGAGGAGTACGTATCTGCCATATAATAAGTCAATTTCAAATCTCGTGCGAGCAATGTTCTAAAAAACCGACTAAATCATGTACTATCCTACAGCGATAACCCACTTTCTATGTTATTTGTATGTATATATTTTGTCAATTATTGCTAATTGACGATGCATTCGAATAGTTTGCTTTCTCTATTCTTAATAGGCTCGAGCGGGTTCGCTACCTCAATTAGAAGAGCAAACTACAGTCATAGGCAATTTTTAGATCATGCTAAACAAAAAATTAAATACAAGCATTCTTGATATTTCTCTCTTACTGTAATTCATAAGCCATCCAAGATATTTATTGACGAAAAAAAGATAACAACTTACGAGATTACCTCTGAATATAACAATCGTTTTAGTTAGTGCACAAAATATGTGCTCGATGACTAAAAGAGAATGATCAATAATGTGTTTTGTTTTTATTCTGTACATATATTTTCACTACTACCTTTTTTGCATTTTGTCAAAAAACACGAAAATGTCTCATTCACAAAATTTTAGCCAGCTTCATCTGTTTCTTACTCAAAATGCTCGACAGAATATGCTTCAATTCCTATCTTCAAATAAACGCTCACAGACATTGACATCAGCTTGTGCAGAAGTGACGTGAACCATGATTACATAATTGTTCTGTACGGGCTTCGTACATTAAATATAGGAAGGCTAAACATAGTTGAAATAGCTGTCGTCTGAATGTTAGAAATGTTACATCTTTCTTTATTTAACTGACTCAGCATTCCAAGTGACTTGAACAGTGCGTATGAGTAGACATGTTTAGGTAGATGCTTTTAAGAAGGATAGGACAGAAGTAGATTTATTCAGCGTATTCGGAACTTCTGTTGGAGCACCAAGAGTTGATTGAAAATACGCGATTAGCCAATTACAATTTACGGATATTTAAAACTATCCTACGACGCATTGTATGATTCTTTCATTCAAACTATAAAATGACGAGAAAGACCATTTACTATTTCAATAAATCCTATATTTCGACACTAAAGATAAAATCAGTAGTATTCTACAAAGTATTACATAGCTGGTTCGAACTGTAATTCAATTTTTAATTTCTAGATTGCATATTGAACAAGGTATTTCATAGAACTCTCTAACGACAGAGAAGGCGATCATCATGTTCATGTTTCTGATTATGCGCGCAGTTATTTTAAAACGTATACCTTTATCAAAAATGATTACGCTAGAATATCCAACGACAGAAGAATTTACCAGTTTCTGTCGTCCTTCTAAATCCTATGTTGAGCGAAGCCAACTTTCGACTAATGTCAACATTGATGACAAATGCTTTGCTACAATATCATGAAGATCGTTACAGATATGTTCAAACAAGGGGGTAGAATCACATGTCCAACGGTGTGGTTCCAATGATGACTATGGACAAGATATAGTTATCCAGAAAGAATTTTATGAACATGCACGCTCAAGACAGACACTATGTGAACAACCAAAAGCTGTTCAAAGTTTTGTGTCTGGATGTTTACCGCTAACTCTTCCTATACTTTCATCCTCACTAAGCTTGAACAGACTAACGACAGTTGGTTTTCTCGTCGATCAATCAATTGATGATTGATGAGAGCTGGAGTACATATATTTCACATGAGAAATATTGTTGTTCTTGTTCCCTCACCTCATCATGTTAAACAACCATGAATAGCAGTCAATTGGTATTTCTTGATGAAACATATCCATCGAGCTTCTAAATGGACTGCTATCATAACTTGAAATCAACGCACTGCTTGATTTGTACTATATCGCGATCTTATCCTTGTGAAAAGAAAAGAGAAGCTTTTTTCATTTCGTCATCAAAATAGAAAAGAGAACGAAAAACATGCCTTTACATACCCTCTCGCGCTCTTCGCGATACGATTATATCATGTGCTAGTAGTGATTTTTTCACACGAAACAGTGAAAGAAAAAAAGCCATTTTTTTCTAAAACAAGGACAATTTCGAACGTTTTTAGTTTAGATCATGATCGGCGTAGACTTTACTGAGATCGATAAAACGACGAGATATCAACTTCTTTGCAGCGCTGTTGTTCCTCGACCGATTGCATTCATTAGTACGATTGATAGTAGAACAGGTATATTTTTTCTTCAATACACTCTTCCTTTGATATTGTTGTTGACTTTCAGGCATAAAAAACCTTGCACCGTTATCTTTCTTCAATTGTGTTACTAGTGAACCTCCAACTGTGATGTTTTCTCTAACTAGGAAACGCGATGGGAGCAAGAAGGATACTTTAATTAACATCGAAAATGAAAAGCATTTTATTATAAATCATGTGACGAAAGAGCTCTTCCCTCAAGCTTATGACGCGTCTGCTGAGTTCGCATCGGACATTGACGAATTCGATGTCGTTGGTTTAACTGCATTACCTGGCTTCAAGGTGAATTCTCCAAGAGTGAAAGAATCACCGATCCATTTCGAATGCGAACTGTATAACTCAATGCAGGTGGGTGATGGAAATTATGGTAGTTCAACGATCATTGTTGGGAAAGTAGTTTATATGCACATCGATCAATCCCTCTATCAGGATGGAATTTTAGACATGTCATCGATTACAACTGTATCAAGATTAGGAGGTATGAGTTATGGTTATGCAGAAAAGAAATTTGATTGTGACAAAGAGACTTGGAATGTAACAAACTGGTGAACAGTTTTATTTTGAAATAAAATATCTATTTTGAATACGTCGTCATTTCTTTGCCACCATGCCAATTGACGGAGCACGATTAATTAAATCATCAAAAAACGCGTAATCATCAGCATTCTTATCGTATTGATAAGGGACCCATTCTAATGATTTAAAACCAGCTTCGCGAAATACTTGCTCATAAGTACTCGGCGAATAATAATAATTGATAAAGGGCGTTGTCGGTTGATCATGTTCGTCATAGAGCGTAACAACAATTTCTGTTCCATCGGGAATTCTCTCTCCATCGAGAGGATCTTTGATTTCTCGTGTAACACCGTATTTTCGTTGATCGAACATCTTTTTTCCTGCTATGACATTGCCTATAATTCCAATAAAATGTTTTCCTTCACCCAATTGATTCGAAATAATGCGCACCATTGCCAACAATTCGTCTCTATCTCGTGCATAGTCGAACAGATAAAATCCGGTAACTAAATCATATGATTGTTGCGATGAAGATAGATTAACAACATCGTTCACTTCATATTCAATGCCTTTCGGATCACGTCGTTCAATCTTGCGTGCGATGTCAATCATCGGTGCACTTAAATCCACACCACGGATATAAGCACAACCTAAATCTTTCAATTGCCGTGTATAATGACCGTTACCACAAGCCAAATCAAGAATGCGTTTGCCGGTTAACAAACCACCATCGTTGAGTAATGGTTTTAACATACATTCGTGAATGGTGTAATGTTCAACCGGAAGACGAACATTTTTCTCTCGATATTCTGTAAATTCGGTCGCAAATTGCGATTCATCTTCGTGTGCTACTGCTTCGTGAACTTCCATCGTTGCGCAAATAAGATCAACAGGATGAAAAAGAAAGTAAAAGTGCAAATTCAAACTAAAATTTATTCACGTGATGACGAACTGATGGGAAAAAATAGGAGTGTGTTGACTCCGTTATCTATCGATATTTAACTATTATCTTTTCCTCTTTTATTCGTTCGATATTTATTGACTTTGACCAGCTCGTATTATTGATAAAACAGCAGAGAAAGAAAAAAGTTATTTGAGTAAATATTCTCGATAAAGTGACTTCAGTTTTATGATTGAGAAAACGTTTTTATTACATTTTTGAAATGGTTGCAGTGACATGCAGAATAATAATCTACGTAATAAACCTCTCTTCTCCAATTATAGATTCTGAAATCATCAATGGATCGAATCGATTATTTAACATTCTTCGTCAATGGAAGAGAAATCATTGAACGTGATTGTCAACCTGAATGGACTCTATTGTGGTACTTGAGAAACAGTGAATATCATAAATGAATTTTAACTAATACTACGAACTGTATTTTAGAATGTCGTTTAACTGGTCCGAAGTTAGGATGTGGTGAAGGTGTGTGTTAGGAAAACAAACCATATATTTAGAACATCTTCATTCATTGTAGGTGGTTGTGGTGCGTGTACTGTGCTGATTTCCCATCACGACCAAGCATCAGACAAGATTGTTCATCGAGCAGTCAATGGATGCCTAGTTTCGGTTTGTTCGGTGGATGGATGTCATATAACGACAGTCGAAGGTCTTAGCAGTATCAAGGACGATTCGTTACATCCAATACAACAACGTTTGGCTGAACTGTATGCATCACAGTGTGGTTTTTGTACGCCGGGGATGGTCATGGCATTGTATGGTACGTTGAATAATATCGAAAATCCGACAATGAAGGATATTGAAGATTCTTTTGATGGCAATCTATGCCGTTGCACTGGTTATCGACCAATATTAGATGCAGCAAAAACATTCGCATGTGACAAACAACCAGTTGACTGTAATAAAAATCAATCAGTCGACCCTACAACGATTATCAGTACAACTGAAAATAAACTACTGAACTACAATGATATACAGTGTCCTGTTTTTCAATTTCCGCCACCATTGCTGAAGCACAAAGTACAATCGATACATATCTCAGGTAAATCTTCCGAATGGTATCGTTCAACATCATTGGCCGAACTTATCGCATTGAAGAGAGAACATCCAACAGCAAAAATAGTTTCTGGTCATACAATGGTTCAGATGGATCGAAAGTTTAAGGATAAAAAGTATTCTGTTCTAATTGCTGTTTCACAAATTTCAGAATTAAATGTGATAGAGAAATCCGAGCATGGTATGACCATCGGTGCTTGTACAACAGTTGCAAAATTCAAAGAGTACTGTCAATCATGTTCACAGGTATTACCATCATATCAGATGCGAACATGTCACGCACTTTTAAGCCAGTTGAACATTTTTGGTTCACAACAAATTCGAAATCTGGCAACCGTGGGTGGTAATATCATGCATGGATCACCCATATCGAGTTTAAATCCTGTTTTACAAGCATGTGATGCAAAATTGAAATTAATCAAGTGTAATAATAGTGAAGAATATGAAATACCTTTACGCGAATTTTGCTTATCGAAGAAGACATTGGATGGGGAACATGACCAAATTTTGGTATCAGTTTACATTCCTTTTGCAGAGAAAAATGAATATTTACAATCGTACAAGCAATCGAAACGAAGAAAATTGGATATTCCTATCATAACCTGTGCGTTTCAAGTGAAATTAGAACAAGTTCCAGTACAAGTCAATGAGTGCGCACCAGACTTGACATGGAAGATCCAATCGACATGCCTGGCGCTGGGCAGTATGGCTCCGCACACAATCACGATGAGCAAAACACAAGATTACCTTCGAGATAGACCGTGGTGTAGACAAACAATGAAAGATGCATTGAAATGTTTACTTGATGAATTACCATTGGACGAATTCAGCCCAGGAGGGCAACCAGAATATCGGTAAATATTTTTCATCTAATCTTATCTAACGGTATCTTTTGATTTAGTCGAACATTGATGACATCATTTTTCTTCAAATTTTATCTGTTCGTAACTGAACAATTACGAAAAACTCGTCCAGAAATATCAACAGATGAATTGTCTGTAAGTGAACTATCGATGGCAACACCATACATACGAAATCTTTCGCGCGGTGAACAAGAATTTCAATCAAAGCCAAATTCAAATTATGTTGTCGGTTCATCCCATACGCATAATAGTGCTCCGTTACATGGAACAGGAGAAGCGAAATATACTTGCGATATACCAACACCTTCCGATGGCTTATATTCTGCTCTTGTCTTAAGCACAGAACCCTATGCAAAAATTCTCTCAATCGACACAGCACAAGCTGAAGCAATGCCCGGTTTCAAAGCATTCATTAGTCATTCGGATGTTACCGGTAGTCTTATGACTGGTGATGTTGTAAACGATGAAGAAGTATTTCCAACGACAACTATTTATTGTATTGGTACAATAATTGGTATGGTTGTTGCGGACAGTGAAGAAGGGGCTCAACAAGCATCGAAGTTGATTCAAGTAAAATATGAATGTTTAGAACCGTTGATCGTCACTATCGATCAAGCAGTTGAACATCAGTCGTACTCGGGACGAGAACTTTCTTTAAAATTCGGCGATATTGATCAAGGCTTCCAAGAAGCTGAACATATCATCAATGGTGAATTCTATATGGGTGGTCAGGAACATTTTTATTTGGAAACAAACTGCTGTATGGCTATACCGCATGAACGTGGCGAATTGGAAATTTATGCATCAACACAGAATGCAACCGGGGTTCAGGAAAAGGTCGCTGCAGCATTAGGTATACCCAGCCATAAAATAGTTGTTCACGTCAAACGAATCGGTGGGGGATTTGGTGGTAAGGATTCCATTCGTCACATAAGACTCTGCATTGCCGTTTCCATTGCTGCTTTGAAATTAAAACGACCCGTTCGCTTAACACTCGATCGAAATACCGATATGTTAATCAGTGGACCAAGCAGTTCGTTTAAATCTTTATACAAAGTCGGTTTTACATCATCAGGTCAGTTCAAAGCATTAGATATCACGCTCTACAGCAACGGTGGATGGTCGCAAGATTATTCCGTACCTATCATGGAACGTGCTCTGTTACATTGTGATAATGTTTATAGTTTCAAAAATTTGAAATGCTACGGACGTGTATGTAAAACACATACTCAATCCGCAACGGCTTATCGTGGTTTCGGAATACCGCAAGCGATATTGATAATCGAAAATATTGTTGAACATGTCGCCTCGTATTTGATGGTCGAACCGGTGAAATTGAGAAGAATGAATCTGTATGCCGAAAATGATTCGACACATTTTCAACAGATATTAATTCATTGGCATATTCCGAAAATGTGGGACGAGCTAGTGAAGTCATCGGATTATTATCAACGGATGGAAAGCATAAAAAAATTCAATCGTGAAAATCATTATCGAAAGCGTGGCATAGCAATGAACCTGGCTAAACTTGCTCTCGGCTTTACACGAAAATATATGTATCAAGCCAGTGCTTTAATCCATATTTATCGAGATGGAACTGTTCTATTGACCCACGGCGGTACCGAAATGGGCCAAGGACTACACACCAAAACTCTCCAAGTCGCTGCTGAAATTTTGCAAATTGACATCACTCTCATTCGTATAAATGACATCGCAACAGACAAGATTCCAAATGCTTCCTCGACAGCTGGTTCGACATCATCGGATCTGTACGGTAGTGCAACGAAAAATGCTTGTGAACAAATTAACGAACGATTGAAACCACTACGAGAAGAATTTCCTGCATACAATTGGTTCGAATTAATCAGTGCAGCATATTATCAACGAATAAATTTATCCGCACAGGGCTTTTATCAAACTCCGCATGTTGCCGATGTTGATTTTGCGAATAATTTTGCACATTACCCGTATTTCACAACAGGATGCGCATGTTCAGAAGTCGAAATCGATACACTAACTGGCGACTTTCATATTCTAAGAACCGATTTATTGATGGATTTCGGTTTGTCAATGAATCCAAATATAGACATCGGACAGATCGAAGGTGCTTTCATGCAAGGAGTCGGTATGGTCACCGTCGAAGAACTGATCTGGGGCGATGAACAACATAAATGGTTACCTCCAGGTTGTCTGTTTACACAAGGGCCCGGTGCATACAAAGTTCCATCATTCAATGATATACCTATTGATTTTCGTATTTCTCTTTTTAAAAATGCACCTAATCCGTTTGCTATTTTCTCATCCAAAGGTGTGAGCGAACCATCAATAACTTTATCAACTACTGTTTTCTTTGCGATCAAGAACGCCATTGGATCCTATCGACGTGATAATAATTTGAATGAATATTTCGTATTGAATAGTCCAGCAACATGTGAAAAAATACGCATGGCATGCGCGGATAGTTTAACTAAGGAAACAGTTGGCGAGGAACAGCACGGAACATTTCAAGCGAACGGAAGTTATTAGACTGAACACTTTCTTTTGATTATTTGGACGAGAAATAAACTATTTGTTTCGAATGTGTATACTATCTCACAAGGCAATTGCTTTTGTCATTAAACCGTATGATTACAAAGATAAAGATCGATGCGAAATGCGAGATTGTATAACCTTCATTTTCTTCTCTTTGCCATTCGATCTGTTCGTAGTCCTCGAAGATGCTCGTTCTCTCGATTGTTTTATTCCTTGCATCCGTTCACTTAACGCATACGTCCAGAACAGTATTAAAATTAACATTTGATCCCGATGAAGCATATTATCCGCAAGGCAGTATGATTGAAATTCGTTGTGAAATGTTCAATGCAGATGATACCGACGAATCACCGCAATTGTGGTATGTCGATTCGAAAACTGGTAAAAGCGCCCAGATCACTCGAGCATTATTGAATAAACCAGTGGAAAACTCACCGGATATATTCAAACGAAACCACAATGGCCGTTTCGAATATGTGAAACAGAACCATTTACGTATCAGGCATGTTATATTGGATGATACAAGTCGATACGAGTGCAGTTGCCCAGATTGTGAGGAAACATTAGAAAAACAAGTAAAAGAATTACATGTTATCAAGTTAGCTGAACCTAAATGGCAGATCGAACCTGATTGGCCCATGCGAGAATATGTGAATTCAAGAATAAAATGTACTGTGGATGATTTTTACCCATATATTAAACACAAAGTCCTTCGGAATCATTACGATATTACCGCTGAGGGATACTCGTTGTTATTGAATGCAAAAGCGTACCCACAAAAATTTTCTTGGAAAGCAACTGTTATACCAACAGCTGATTGGCATAATTCAACAATACACTGTGCGGTGACTATAGGTTAGAGTTTTTGAAAAACAACGAAAAATGACATCATTTTGTTTTTTTCTTCATTCGATTAGGTGATTCTCAGCATTGGGCGGTAAAAACTCTTCAAGTTTTATTTGCTCCACGTTTTGACATGTGTTTCGAGGAACAAGTTATCAATAAAACGCAACAGAACGCTTCCATTACCTGCACATATGCAGGAAATCCCAAACCAGAATTCATCTGGTTTCGGAAAACTGATGGAACTCCTCTTGCAGGACACACTGGAATTACTATTAACACTATAGATGACTACCATGGAAGGTATACCGATGTTGTCACATTCGATCGTGATGCGTTAACAACAGACTATGAGCAATTGTTAGATGATGGTTTTGTTGTAGAATTAAAACATCTTGGTGAAGTTCAAGAAACACGAACGATTTCTATTATCGATAGCTTCTATTCAACAAACGCTCCAAAATCGTGTGGTTCATCAACAAACACAACTAGAGATTTGTTGTATTTAACTATCCTGTTTTCATTCATAATGATTCAACATTTAAACTCTGTCATTTCGTTTTATTAATTATTAAATAATACTAGAGAATTTCTGACCAACACATTTAAACTAAAACATCTAACTTACAAAAGCACATCGACATTCTCAAATGACCAGTTGGCGGTGCACACGATTGTTTGAAAACGGCAATTCAGAATTTATTCGAACAGTGGATCCGTAGTGATGAGTATTTGCTTGACATAAAAATACGCTCTCGATTTCTTGTAAATAAGAATGAATAAACGGATCATAATTGATGAAGACAAAAGCACGTCTGTGAAGAACATGTAAACAACCGGTTTGTTCTTAATACAATACATCTTTACGATATCAATGGGTGTTTCACTCTACATGGGAGTTGAGTAGTTTTGACCAGTCGACAGAGTTTTTCTCGATATACACTTCCCGATAAAATAATGGCTATGTTGCATATGATGATCTTCAATTGTGTTGTTTGTTCGGTGCTGGTTGCATTGAGTCGTTGTGGTTTAGAACTGGAACAGTAGCGATCAAATGATGCTAAGGTACGCATAACTCGAGTAATAAACGATGGTGTAAAAGAACCAAAGATATGTATGTTGCATCCGACGCGTGTATCTTCCCAATCAATGAGTAGTGCACTTAGTACCTATGTTGGACATAATATACAAGTATAACTGATAGCGAACATTGTGTAACTTATGAGATAATATGTGTATGGTGAAACTTGGAGACTACGTGAAAATAAAATGCGAATTTTGAGAGTATATTCATGACTATGATCAAAGTAAATAGTATGGGTTGGACCTAAATATTCAATATGAGAACTTGAACAGAATATAGAAAATCATTTCAAACATGTAAAGTTTCGTCTTATTTTTGTCATAGAAAATAGAGAGAATAAGGGGAATCTATAAAAGTACATCGGTATTTTCAGACAACTGGATAACGTTGGATACGATTATTTGAAAAATCAGCAATATACATATAGGTTTCATTTTGATCAAGAACCACTGTATAAGGTTGGTTAAGAGTGAAAGTCGTGTTGCCCGAAGTGCCATTCATATTGCCTACGACTGTCACACCAGACGTTGCATTAGTTAACCATTTTTGGATTCGATGGTTAGTTCGATCACTGACATAGACCGAACCATCTTTCCGTGATACAAAGACGCCTGTCGGTGTATTCAACTGATTTGCTCCTGAACCTGCACCATTTCCTCCCGCTACAGTCACACCAGTACGGTTTCCATTTCCATTCGTTGAAAAGCGTTGAATTCGATGATTGTTTGAATCTGCCACGTAAATGTAAGAATTCTTCTCGTCCAAGTACATATGTCGAGGAAAATTGAGATGCCGTGAAGTATTGCCAGTCACGCCTAATCCACCAATGAGAATAGGCGTTGTTGCATTTGCCGCCCATTTAACGACTGTATTACAATCTGAGTGAGCCACGTAGATATTGCCTTGTGCATCACCAACAATACCATACGGTCCATCAAACCACCCACCAGCTGCACTGCATGCCTTGGCTGCTCCAGTCAATGGTAGCGTTTTATTTAATGGCCATCTGAAAACTATATCGTAAGCAGTCTGAGCTATATATAATATGGACGCATAATCATCGTAATAGAGACCTCCAACATTGGGAATAGACACTGGAACCGTTGTTCCATTTTTGGAGGACAGCTGAAATTGTTGAATACGAGTATTTCCAAAATCTGCTACATAGAGGATGCTATCATTGCGAGTAAGATAAATATCGATTGGTTGTTTCAATGAAAAACGATCGCTTCCGGAAGTTGAATTACACTGGCCGGCAACTGTATATGAGCACGGACCTTAAAAGATAAGTAAAACTTTCAATAAGCTCACAGAATTCCATCATATCGATACGTACTCCCCGTCGTTGTCGTCGTCGTTGTTTGTATGGATGTAGTAACTGCTGTGGTTATTAAAGTACTTGCTGGTAGTTGAATAAAAGAAAATGAACTATTGATATTGTTAATTAGTTGATAACTAATAGTTTCATTGTAAGTTCTAAATATTTCACATGATTTGCTCAACAAATGACAATTAAACGAAATAAAAGTGATATTTTTTGCTAGTCGACAGAGACATTCATCACACGATGTTACATTCATTTGCGAAACTGTTTGACCAACCAAGCTGACATTATAAATTGTACCAATACGAATACATCTTGCTTGAGAATAAAGAATGGAGAGAAGAATGTATGTGTAGTTTACGTGCATCGGTTTGGTGTTCATTTGAAGAATGAACTTAAGTCGAGAAATACTTGCTTGGCGTTAGAATCATTTTCTGGTCTAACGCATGTTGACTTTTCTTCGATGTAATAATGCGATCGGTCATAATTGATGAGGAGAGATGAATGTCGATGAATACTAACTCCACTTATTTTATGAGAAATATCTTATCATATGAAATTGATTGAATCAGAGCGAAAAACAAATATCAACTGCAATCACCTGATTATTCACCTAAGCATGCGCCGTAAATATTACAACAAGACTTTCGTACTCTTCGGCAAATACTGATGAAGACAAGCCTATATATACTATATGCTCTTACAATAACAGCGTATTCATTATTTTGAGCTCAAATTCAATATATTGATATTAACAAGTGTAAGCAAGAAAATATTTAATGCACTTGATACTTGTTTCACTAGAAAACAACATCGAGTAAAATACAATTCTCATCATTAGCCATAGCTTTATGCTCCACATTCATTTCTTTTTGTCAGTGTTAAGTGATGATTTTCAAAGACGTTCTGTCTTTTGGTAATTTTGAACAATCGGCGGAGTTCCTCTCGATACACACTCCCCGATAAAATATACAGGAAAAACGAGAGAAAACAATCAACCTGTGTCCACATTACACAGATGTAACGTATACCGACGATGTTTGGTGTGCGAGTTGACGGATTGAATGCGTTCAAAGAATAGACAACACCGAATGGAGTGGTTAGGATCAGATGACAACAGACTTGTAGAAGCAACATACGAACTAGTTGTCCTTCAGTTCGCCGACCGG